GTCCCGCTGCCTACTCAGGCAGGAAGAGCCGAGCCATGGGCATGGTCTCAGCTACTTTATTCCCGACCCGGAGTGGGCACACAAACGTCCGGGCCCAGAAATGCTCCATAGCCGGAGTTTGCACCAGTGGCTGGGCCCAGGAAATCGCATTTTAAAATGGTGCTTTTTTTCTGCCGATAATGCTGAAACAGGAAATCTCTCTATAGAACGCCCTAGCAAACAGCAAAATCTGTGTTAAACTCTCTTTCCCTTATTTTTAAGCCCTCTCAGGTTTTATGTGGAGTTCATTACCATGCTGGGCGCAACTCTGTAGAAGGAGCAGTGGGCTGATTTTCGTCCCGCCCTGGCTCCTGGTCGCCTGGCTAGCTTTACCCAAAATAATTACACAGAAACTGTATTAATTTAAACACCACTTGACCCATTATCTGTAGCCTCTTCTTGGCTAACTCTTATATCTTGATTCAGCCCATTTCTAATAATCTGTATGTCACCACGAGGTCGTGGCTTACTGGGAAAGATTCAGCATGTCTGACCTGGCAGTTTCATGGCAGGAAGCTCTCTGACTCTGCCTTCTTTCTCCCAGAATTCAGTTCTGTCTTTCCTGCCTACCTATGTTCTGATCAATCAGGCCAAGCAGCTTCTTTATTAATTAACCAATGAAAGCAACAGAAATGCAGAAGACCCTCCTACATCATTATTTCATTTCTTTCTTTCATCATTACATGCTGTTTTGAGCTAATAATTATTGCTCACATTTCCTTTAGAATATATTTTTATATTCAAGATGGTTTACACTGTTTATATGCAGTGTAATGAGCATGTCATACTTGTGGTCTACTTTCTAAAGTTAAATATTATGGAACCCTCAGTGACAGATTGGTGAAAGACCTTTCATAGGGATAATCTTGTGGAATTTGTCTTTTCTGGTCTATTTTTATCATTATTACTACTTTAGTGTATTAAGACATGTATTCAAAATTCTGAGGCCTGGAGTGATAACTCAGTCTGCAGATTGCTTGCCTTCCAAGCATTATAACAAGACTTTAATACCCCAAAAATCGTGCAAAAATATCTGGATGTCATAGAGTATACTTGTAATGCCTGTGTAGGAGATGAGGAACCACAAAATCCCCTAAGGCTAACTATAATGGGGTTCAATTAAAGATGCGACAAATAGCTAAAGGGGAGCTAAAATCTGAGGTTAAAGATGTTTACTTACAATGGGATTCTCTGTCCATTTTTTTATTCTACTCTATATTCTCATTTTTTGCTTGTCTCACTTGTTATATATACTTCTATCCATTACAAAGATTCCAAGTCATATATACCCTTAAAACCAGCAATTCCTCAGCCCTGGCAGGTTCCAGGGCTGGAATTCTTTTGCCCAATAACAAACCAGATAAGTGTTTTTACACACACAGAGACAGATCCATGGGAGTGGCTAGTACACATTGAATGAGCTCCTCAATGAAGAAAGGTTATTAAATCATCAAGGAATTGAAGAAAAGAAGGTTAATGTGGTACACTACATTTTTAGGTGATAGATAAAAGGTTTATTTCAGGAAAATTTTGAATATCACATAGATTGTTTAAATCTGCATGCCGTATCTTTTCTCCCAGTAAACATAGAAGCTATCAGGTAACCAGGCAAACTACATAAACAGTTAGGAAGTGTAAACAGAGACTACCCTTCAGTTTCCCAGCTGCCCAGACTGGAATAATCAGACAGAAACTATATTAATTACAACATTGTTTGGCCGATGGTCCAGGAATATTTCTAGCTAGCTCTTATATCTTATATTAACCCATTTCTATTCATCTGTATATATCACTACAAGGCTGTGGCCTACTGCTAAGGTTCTGGCATCTTTCTCCTTCAGCAGCTACCTGATGTCTCCTTGACTCCTCCTACTTTCCTCTCTCTGTCTCTGTTCAGATTTCCCACCTAACTTTGCTAAGCCATGGGCCAAAGCAGCTTTACTCATTAACCAATAAAGGCAACATATATACAGAAGGATATCCCACATCAAGATAGAAATCTTGGCTTTTAATCAGATAACACATACATGAGACCTGCAGGTTTTACTGGCCTTGGTCTGGAGATAGACTTACTGCTCTTAGCAAAGAAGAGACCCAGACCTCCTAATTATCAGTTCTGGTCTAGGCTGTTATCAGTTGTTCTGGTCATGGGGTAAAACCAGAACAACAGCGTGGGCAGGTAGTAATTCTATGTCCTTGGTTATCAGTGACTATCTTAGATGAAATGCTCTATGCCTGGACCCTAAGCACTGGCCAAATGCCTGCTGATAAAGATAATTGCAAAAAGGTAGATCTCTCCGCTTACTTAGGTGAGAGGAATGAAGACAGTTTAGTGAAAACAGTTCCGAACTGTGGGAATTAATTCCCAAATATATAAAAGAAAAGATATCAGCTAGAGCAAAAAACCTACAGCAAATTTCAGCCACTTACAAAGCAATAATGTCAAAGACCCTCCATAGTAAAGAGCACTAGCCTTTTGTTTTAGCCTTTATCAGTTCCCTTAGTTCTGATAAGCTGATCGTGAAAAGGTGGCTGAGCAATTACTATATAATGTTGTGGCTTGTAGCATAACTAGCCAGACAGCCTGGCCTACTTGACAAATTCCAGGCCAATGAGAAACCCTGTCTAAAGAATAAAATGAATATCAACTAAAGAATTTCATTCTAGGTTGTCTTCTGACCTCTAGTCCATGTGCACACACATGCACATAAACAAAGCCGAGCACATACATACACCTGAACAACGCACAAAACTGTTTACTCTCTTTACAATTATAAAAGGATGTGTTTTGAAGTTCATACAAACTAAAGGTATGATCTGAAGTAGTCTACTGCACTTAAGGACACACTGAGCAAGACTTAAGGTCGTGTGCAATTCTTGAGGGTCAGTTGTTGTAATGACTCCAAATGAGTTTTCTGCTGTCCCCCTTGGGCTGCTCAGGTTCTCTGCACAGTTGATAAGTGGAGAATGAGTGGAAGGATTAAGCATCTTCTGTCTCAGATCCTTATCTCGAAGTGGCATTGCCATATTTCTTTCTTCTCATTGCAAAGGCCTCAACTCTGCCCCCCTGTGGCACTTTTTCTTCAAGGGAATGTTTTGATGCTTGAAGAAGTCATCGGGAAGAAAATTGGCTCTCTCCTTCACAGGAACACTCAAAAATAGAATAATCTTTCTGGTTTTATTTAGAAACCACTTCAAGACCACTTAAGCAGGTACTTAACAGGCTTTGTGATAGAATTCTTCTGGGACTTTTTAAGATCCATTGCTATTTTTACAAAAACGGTTCCTAAAACTACATTTTATTTTTTAAATTTATTTATTTATTTTTTATTTTTTTCCATTCAAAAATTTACACTTCCTCCTCTCCTCTCATTTCCCTCCTACTCCCGCACTTCCCCTCCTCCCTCCCCTTCCCTCCTTAAGAGAGGTCAGGGAACCCTGCCCTGTGGGAAGTCCAAGGCCCTTTCCCCTACATTCAGGACTAGGAAGCTTTGCTAAAACTACATTTTATAAGGAGAACCATAGCACTGGAGAGATTCTCAGTAGTTAAAAGCACTAGCTGTTCTTGCAGAGGACCTAGGTTCATTCCAAGCACACACTCGGCAGCTCACCACTATCCAATTCTAGTTCTAGGGAATCCAATACCTTTTCCTGACCTATGCAGGCACTGGGAATACATGTGGTGCACAGGTAGACAAGAGAGAAAACACTCATATGCATAAAATAAAAGTTTAATCACTTTTTAAAAAGTTTTAAAAAGAGAATCACAGAAGAGGGAGAACTTTTAGCTCTTTGTCCCCCAGCGGTTTGGTGAAGTGGCCCTGCCCAGATGTGAAGTGTCTCTGTGGCAGCGTGGGTTTTCCTTTGCATCACTGATCTCCTTAACTGAGAATATGGTCAAGTGGGGTCTCATGTAATGAGACTCATCTGTTTGGACCTCAAAGCAAAGCTCCATTCTCAAATAAGCGATTCTCTAACAGACTTTGATCTTGTAGTGTAAACAGCCACGAGTTCCATGTAACCTTCATCCTGAGAGGCCACGGGAACACACTGCTCTGCACAGTGTGCAGCGCAACGATCAAAGTAACAGCTGAATAATTATAGCAGAATCAAGCTGTCTCGGTGGTGTACTTATTGGCACATCTTATCAAAAAAGAAGGCACATTCTGAATTCTGATGTTTTGCGAAGGTCTATCAATTTTCAAGAGATTGTAATTAAGAAAATATTATACTTGGCAGAACTTTCTGCTATTATCAACTAACTGAAAATCAAAGGAAAAGCATGTTGTGTAATGTAATTGCTACAAATTGTGGCTATTTGGAATATTAGTGTAAGACCTGGAAGGATTTTCATTGTATTTGTGTGCTTTATGGAAGGACAAATTGCAAAATTAGTTTCAGGCAATTTTGTAAATGTGAACAGTAAATCACAGAGAATAGTTTGTTTTGTTCCCTCTACACATAGATTTGTTTTGTCTGAAGGAGACACAGGTGCTATGCCTCCGTATGACAGCAGATGGCAGTAACGATGCATCAAAAATTCATTCAAGCTTTTGTTTTGTTTTGGTGTGTGTGTGTGTGTCTCTGTCCTTCTATCTGAGTAGTGTTTAAACGTATGTGACACCCAAATCTAGAATTTATAATGAACATTTATAGTTAAAAATTTTCTTAGTATTCTTTTCTCCTTATTTTATTTCTCTTTTTAATAAGGGCCTGTATTCTCTATTGTTATCCTTATACTTTGAAAAAGTCGTCATGCTTTAACAGAACAACAGAAACTTATTTTTAACTTTTTCCCACGCAGACGCTATTTGACATTTGACCAGAAGAATGCTAAGGACATACAGCCAGGACAGTGCTCTGGAGAAGTGGGAATTCTAAATTCCAAACTTCTGTTTCTTAATCTTCACTTCCATGTGGAAATTTGCTAAGTACCAATGAGGGATCCCCTCTCCTTTCAGATCCCAGGAACTTCTTCTGTGGTTCAGAGAAAATGGAAGCAGCAGCAACATGTTTCTCAGCCCCGAGGGTCCGGACAGCAGAGCAAGGCCCGGATTAGCGCTGTGGCAGCTGAGATAAAGCAGATCCGAGCGCGGAGGAAAACAGCCCGGATGCTCATGGTCGTTCTTCTGGTCTTTGCAATTTGCTATCTCCCAATCAGCATTCTCAATGTGCTAAAGAGGTAAAGCCCATGTATTTATTTGAAAATCAGGCAGCTTGGCATTTAATTAAGAACTCCTTTCTTTCTAAACAGACAAAACCCTCTCCTAGGTACTTTATCGGGCCAGTCAACTCAGTTGTTAGAACACTTAAGGCAACATCAGCCTACTAGCAAGCTCGGTCAGTGGAGATTTTCAGTTGAATGGTAGATAAAATAGCTGTTTTCCTAACCTCTCGGGGTTGATTGCTAAGCCTTAGATGGAGGAAACATTCTAATAAAAATCGTGTTTCAATAACTAATTTCATAAATAAAATTACACATTTGAGTTCTTTTTCATGAGAATAAATGGGTTTCCAACATTATTCTCAAATATATAAATGACCACACTACAGTCCTTTCTGTCAAAAAAAATATTTTCAGAATAAAAAGAGATAAGAACAATTTATTTGGGGCACTAAACACAGCAGCCATGAAGTAGATATTTTGTGTTCAACATTAAACCTAGAGAAAGATGTTCATTTCTTGAAATTATTGAAATAATTTCAGTATCGATATTAATATAACATATGTATGTGTTATGTTTATATAATGTAGTATAACATTATATTATACATTCTACATATTATAGAATAATATGGTACCATGTTATATTCATGACAATATAATATATTACCATGTTGTATTGTATCAAACCTGTTGCACACAGACTGGACCCAAGGCAACCTTAATTCTGTTTCTAAAAGTCTTCAAACTTAATCTGTTCCTTTTCCCAAAGTCAGAGTCAGTATCATATTCCTCACAGCTGGGGACCTTAGGGACAGATAGGCTTGGCTAGACTCAGATAAAAGGTGGTATAACCAGCTGAAAAGATTGGCTCTTTATGTTCGTTTAAAGACACTTTTAATGAAGAAGTAGAAAATGAGCTTTTGTTCAGAAACATCATAGCCTTGTATATTACAAGGTTTTGAGAAACCCTGATCTTGAGATCTGTGTCCACTCACAGTACATCATTTCCCCTTTACTTCTGCTAAGTCTCTCCTCTCATGTTATTTCTCACAGAAATCAAATGCAAAAAATATTGTCTTGCTAGTTTCTGTTTCTAATATTGAGTGTAATAGAATTGAATGACACTGAATAAATAGATTCTTCCTTTCTCTTCCCCTCCTCCTCTCTCCCCTCCTGCTTTTTCCTTCTTCCCCTCCTTTATTTACTAGTCTAAATGAACTAGTTTAAGAATGGATTTAGCACTCTGTGAGGTGCACATTTGAATTTCTTCTATCTCTGCTCTTGACCTCTGCCTCTAATCATTTCCAAATGCCATCTTGTCAATAATACTCAGCTTATTATTCTGAATTGAGTACCTTCCTTTCCTGGGGAGAAAAATTTTTATGTTTAATGTTAAAATGTTTCAAGTTTTGAGCAATAAACCTGTTTGTATACACAAACATTTTAAAACAATTTTGAAAATTGTGTTTACTCATGCCATTTTTTAAAAATATGTATATTTAAATTTAGCCTTGCTTTGCATATCAATTTTGCTTTCATTTATTTTTCACACACTGTAAAGTCCTGTCTTCTTTTTCTTGAAATGTAGTCTTTTGCCTGTTTGATTAAAGCTAACTTCCTCCAAGTGATCTAGTATTTCAAAGACTTTGAACTCGCACTTGTATCTTATTGCAGACTGAATTTGTCCACATTCTTTCATTCTATGTGTGGTTTTACAAACTTTTACGGCTCTGTAGAGCATCACTGTGTCCAAGAAATTCATCACTATCATGCACCTTTCTCTTTGGAAAGCAGTCTAAGCTACAAGTCACATGGTCATTGATAAGGCCTCCAGGAGGGAACACATCTCTTCATCCTGGGACAGAGTAGCTGCAAGTGTGTGGCTGGGTTAGTGGACATCACTGTTAAATTCTACCAGAGAAGGGAGAGGGAGATTTCTAAGAATAGAATGTGGTGGGCTTGACTTTTCTTTTTAGTGGTGTGTGTGTGTGTGTGTGTGTGTGTGTGTGTGTGTGTGTGTGTGTGTGTTGCTGCACACATATCATAACACAGGTATGAAGGTTAGAGGACAAGAGAAAAATTGTCGGGAGTCAGTTCTTGCTTTCTGCTCTTCATTTCTGCAGCTGTGCTGTGTATTCCGAGGTAGCCGGGCTAGGGGCTTCCAGGAGATTCTCCTGTCTCCACCTGCAAGCTCACAATATGATTGTTAAGATTACAGATGTGCTCTAATATGTCAGGATTTTTATGGGCGTTCTGGGAATCTGAACTCAGGTTAATAAGTCTTTACAGGAATTACTTTTACCCCCTACCTAATCACCCCACACCAGTGAAAGACAACGTTGAAATTGCTCAAAAATGGCCTTTGAGTGTACTGTAATACATTTTCAGTTTAACATAATATATGAAAACTTGAAACTCATGTACCTAAAGACTATCAGAATCTTACTCATTGAAAACCTGTCACTTACTCTATACAAAGATACCTCATGAAAATTTCAATGAGACTGGGAACATTAGAGATTAGGAAATATACATTCATCAGTGCACAAGTGAACGTGGGAAGAATTTAGCAGTCCAATTTTGAACTGCTAATTAAAATATGTGCAATGGGTCTGGGAGATGGCTTAGTGGATAAGAACAGTGGCTGGTCTTCCAGAGGACCAGGGTTCAACTCCCAGCACCTACATGGCTGCTGACCACCATCTATAACTCCAGTTAAAGGAGACCCAGCACCCTTCCATGACTGTTGTGAGTACCAGGCATGCACACAAGTGATGCACAGACTGGTACGCATGATACCATCCATGCATATAGAATAAATTTTTAAAGGTGTACAGAATGGAATAGCAACAAGGTTAGTCAATCCATCTAGAAACAAGAGAACAGGATGGAAAGTCAGCTTCTATCTTGTTGACAAGAGATTTGCGTTTCCTGATTCCAGCCTTTTCCTCTGAGCCGACTTGTATTTTTTTATGTACCCTGCGTACCCTAGAGGTTCTGATGGGTACCCAAAATCATTCTGAAGATACGGGGCTGTCAGTGCAGAGTTCAGGGCCAGTTTATTGCTGTGAAGTTTGTTCACCTTTGAAATTTCAATTATTTAAAGATCCCTCTTGATTTTGTTTCTGTTTCTCTTCCTACAGAGTGTTTGGGATGTTCACACACACCGAAGACAGAGAAACTGTCTATGCTTGGTTCACGTTTTCCCACTGGCTTGTGTATGCTAACAGTGCTGCTAACCCAATCATTTACAACTTTCTCAGTGGTGAGTGTCCAGTGTTTCGTCAGTAGCTTCTCCTCAATGGTGGAGCATCCAGAGCAGATGCTCCGGGACAGTTCTGAAGAGAGATACAGAAGTTAGTGTCTGTTGTGGGAGCTATTGCAGCTCCTGACTGGATTGGTTTTGGATTTCTTCTTTTTGAAAGTGAATACATGGCACGAAGCATTTCAGAGGACGCTGTGCAATATTTTCTCAGAAAACTTAGAATAAGTAGTAAATGGACCAGTGAAAATTTTGAGTATCATACATTTCTTTTATCAAACCTGTGATTAAAAAGTATGAAATACCTTTATCTGTTTTGCATTTATATGTTATTTTTTTGTCAAAATGCATGGCATAATTGAAACTGGATTGAAACCAACCCACTTTCAGATATTTGTATACTTAAGTTCCTTGAAGAATTCTCACTCGCCAAAAAAAACCCAGGATTTCTCACAAATAAAAAATACACATATAAAGCTGATTAAGCACACCTATGCAATATATTTTGCATATATTATTATATATTATGTATATGTATATGCAATGAAATAGGATATCATCTAGCCCCACTTCTTCCCTTCAAATCCTTGTCATGATCTCCCAAACATACATATACCAAGTTCATGTTTGGTTTTGATTGTTTTAATAGTTCACTAAATTCATATAGAACTGCCCATAAGTGTGTAAGTGTGTGCCATCCCCTGGAGCTTCGGAAGCCTACAGGTGGCCTCATCAGAACTATGCTGCAATTATCTACATTTTTGTACTGTTTTGTTCCCAATTACTTGGCTATGTATTTGTTTCCCTTTCTAACTATATAGTCATTTTTATGTTCAAGAAAACTATTTATTGTACATTTAATAAAGAGCATGTGCCTTCCAATTTCATATTGACTTTTTGGTTTGCATGATTTGTCTAAGTACTTAGAACATTTAGATAGAGAAAGACTTGATGGGGAGATAATTACAAATAGAAGATCTATTATAGATCTCAAAAGTTAAAAAATAAAAAAAGGATTTTGTGGTTTTGCTATCAATACATAACAAATGTTTGCATCAGTTTAATTACATTTAAGCTTTGATAACTGCATACATTTACTGAAATGTTACATGACAATCTAGAAATATAATTTTTTATAATTTCACGAATTAAAAAAGTTTAGTTGGTAAAATAAAAGGACAACCAATTTTATTTCAGAAAAGTAAGTTTGTCACTTTTTAAATAATTGCGGCCCACACCTTGGCTGGTGCTCTGACCTGGCACTGGGTAGCTGAAACCTGTACAGAAGTTGGGAGGCAAGTGTTTGAAGCGGAAGGCACAGACCAAAGCAGAGCCCTGGTATGAGGCTAAGTTGGGCCACAGACTATGATCTGGTGTGTGCCTGCCATTGTCCTAGGCCTGGGAATGGTCACCACACTTAGTCCCTCAGAAGCATAGGCCCAGAGAAAAGAAAGAACAGTTTCCACGAACAATCTTCACTCTAATAAAGGTAATCATTTCATCATCTTAAATGCCTAAATCTCACTAAGAGGTCAAAGATAAGTACTTGCTAAGATTCTTCCAGTTCCTTGCTTTTCCTATTTTGTCACACATGGGATATGGAAGCAGGATTTTCATAAAAACTACAATTTATTTTTCCTGTTTTGTGACCTCCCATGGTTTCAGCATCTTTATATTATAGCACATCTCTGTTTATTTACTTATGCACAACGTAGATAGATTTAATTGCTTTTAAAGCAATCAAGTGCCTTACAGAGTTAAAAACTAATGAGAAACACAAGGGTTTTGACTTTAAAGAAAGAAAAAAAACGCCAAGTATTACATAGGAAAATACTTCATCGTTTAATTTCCTTTCTCTATTTCCTTTATTGATACAAAATGCTCCACCTCACTGTTAGTGTGGCTCAAAGGAACCACCTGTGCACTCGGCATTGAGAGCTGTTGATACATAACTCACTCTCTTTTCATTCTCTCTGATCTGCCAGGAAAATTTCGAGAGGAATTTAAAGCTGCCTTTTCTTGCTGTCTTGGGGTTCATCATCGCCAAGGAGATCGGCTCGCAAGGGGACGCACAAGCACAGAGAGCAGGAAGTCCCTAACCACACAGATCAGCAACTTTGATAACGTATCAAAACTCTCAGAGCACGTGGTGCTTACCAGCATAAGCACACTCCCAGCAGCCAACGGGGCAGGACCGCTTCAAAACTGGTAGAATATTTATTGCTATGATGAGGACACCCGACTCAAACTATTCTTTTATACAAACTCTATGAATGGAAGTTTTAGTATCCAGTTGATCTAAACCTAAAATTATTTGTCAATCCATTTTTTTTGAATCGATCACTCTTTGGAAATAACCAAATTTGAAATACTTCCTGAACCATTTACTCGAACATGTTTTACCTTTAAACTGCAGTTGGATATATTTTAGGCTATTTCTTCTTAGTTTTTAGAACTGAAGTTTGTGGCAATTAAGGGTTTGAACATTTCTAATTCTTTTTATAACTCCTTGTTATTTTAATTCCACAACTCAAAATGGTTGCTAAAAATCGCAGAAAATCAATCATTTCTTTGACTGATAAAATAGGTAACAATTATTAACTCAGTTAACAACAGACATATGTTAATTGACTTAATATTTTTTTAAAAAATTCACAAAATCTATCATTACAATGTGCTAACTGGGAGACTATGTCTGAACAGAATAGTATACTATTTGTATATATTCAAAATTTATCGTTGAAAATCATATGAAATATATACTCTTAAGCTTAATTTGCCACTAATTTTATCTTTCATTTACTAAATGTTCTCAGGTTTATAACTTTACAAAAGCTAAGATCTTTGTGTGTGTGTGTGTGTGCAATACAGAATCAAAATGACTGTATTAAATTAAAATTTTTTCAGCAGCAACTACTAATACCTAATTATTTTCATCTCTGGGAAGGATTTAACATTTAAATTAAGAGCTAAAAATCAGATTATTGTATTCTTCGAATTAGGGAGAATGAGTTAGTCAGCCTGGCAGGAGAAAGAATGTGAAGCCATGGTGGTGAACATAGGAAGTGAGGGAAGGGCTGTAGACTCCAGGTCTGGGACAGGGCTTCAAAGCTGAGTCTCAAGCGGCTTGCACTAGGCTAGAGTTTGGTCCCCATCACTGAAAACAAACAACAGCAAATAAATGATACAAGGCTTGTTGTCGTCTATGAGGGAAAAATGCTGAGGATTCTCAGGCCTGGCGGATTAGTCACACAACCAAAGACAGTGGTCCCCACCACACACTGGCAGTACTGTTACAACCCCCAGTCCATCCCCATTAGGTTATACTATACTCTCTGTGTTAGTAATTTTAGCATGCCTGAGGCTAAGAGATGGGAAGTTAGGAAAATAGAAGGCTTGCTACTAACTTATTCACAAATAAAAAGTATAGAGTATACTTTGTATAAATGTAAGTCAGGGAATTGAAATGATAGATTTTTTTCAAATTTATTCTCTGTAAAATTATTCTGATGAAAGTATTCACTTCTAAATTAAAAGTTTGTAAGTATACTTATAACGTTGTTCTCCATCTCATACTGAACAGTAGACACTCTGATTATATCGAAACAGGATGTATTTAATATTTAAGAGAGATTTTATTTGAAAATAATTACATTGTCACATTGCCTTTGCCCAACTCTTCATTCTCAGAGAAAATACAACAAAATTATCCATACTTTCTTTTCAAAAGTTGAGGATTTTGTTACCATGTGCCTTTTAGTACTCTAAGCCAGGACTACCCTCTTACATGAGGTTTATCAAAACTATATGGCTGAGTATTGTGATGTTCTCTATCTATGAAAATGATTACTTTCAGTGTCTCCTTTCTCCCCTTTGAGAACTTTGTCTACCACGTACTACATGAAAGGAGAGCTGTAGTTTTCTGATTGTGGTGGCATTTAGCACTTTAAGATTTGAAAATAAGTTCAAATCCTCTGGATAATAAGCCTTAATGGCCTTGAAACTCAATAAAGATGATATATTGATTTTATCCGATATACTTGGGCTTCATTAAGTCTAAGCTGTTAGACAGTATTAGATCCTAAGATGCCAGTTCTTGTTATATAAACAAGTGGAGAGGTCTTGAGTGGGGATGGGGTGGAGAAGGATGGAAAAATAGAGAAGGAATGGGAAAAAGGGAGGGAGGGAGGGAGAAAGGGAGGAAGAGAGAGAGACAGAGAGAGAGAGAGAGAGAGAGAGAGAGAGAGAGAGAGAGAGAGAGATGGAGTAAGGAAAAGAAGTGGGATTGGTATGGTCAATCAAAAGTCAGAATTTTTTTGTTCTAAATTAATGATCCTTAATGTGTCCCTGAACCACCAACACCTGCAGTTCCCAGGAACTAAGATTAAACATGTATCCCAAACTTACTGAACCTGAATGAATGCCTTGGGCTTTATATCCAGAAGTGTATGAGCTTACAAATTCTACAGGTGATTATGACGCACTTTAGCCTTGAGAACTACTGCTCTAAATGGTGTCTCCATTAGCCCAACTTATTAGCCCATGTGAAATAAAGTCTTTTACTGCACAGGTATCTACAGCAGGGAGTACCATCTTCACTACTGTCGGCCTGGCTGGAGGTCTGAGAGAAGAGGCTGAATGTCCATGTGGAGTCTCACCCATGTCATCTCAAAGAGATAATGGTTTACAAAAACAGCTGCCACTGTGTTCTTAGTGTGATGTTAAAGAAGATGGATTTTAAGGCACTTGTGCGCTTTATAAGGGACCTGGATGACTGGAGATTTCATTAAAAGTTCTCAGTTACCGATTTTATTTACTAAAGTTTCTGTTTTATGGAAGCAGCTCATTTTCAAGAATAACTATTGCCTGGAAGAAAACTGTTGAATAAAACTGATACATGAATGAAACTCTGGGAATGGAATCATGAAGTATGTACATATTTCTCAACATTAGGGCCCATGAATTCTGAGTGATTTGAATTCATATGGTGACCTTTGTAGGAGAAATGGTTAAAAAATAAAAGGCGGCCCCAAAACATAGCAGTGTTATTGGGGTGTTTAACTACTTACCTCATTGTGTGCTACTGGCACAGATGAGGGACTTTATTGGAACAGTTTATTTTGGAGCTCAGTTATGCTGAACATTGGACATTGATCTGCCTTTATTTCTATTGTATTTCAAACCTTCAATGTGAGATGTTAATGTCATTAATTTTGTCACTAATAAGGATGGTGTAATAGTTTTATCAAATATATTTGAGATTAATGATTTATGAATTTTTATTGTATCATAAACCTTGACATTTTGAGTTTATTCATTGGGGCTAAATATCATCCCAAGTTTGTGAGAGAAAAAATGTGATTCCTAAATTTTCCACAATGTGGAATTAAGTAGCTGTAAATTATTGGTAAGTTTAGTGCAAAAGTGTTAGGCACAGTAATACTCAATCTTACCCCAGTGCACATTGATTCAGGAAGAATAGCAACTATGTTCATCAGTGACAATATGAATGTGTCTAGAGATGTTATTAACCATAACTGAAATGAGGGCTATTAGCACTTTGATACAATGTAACAATATCAGGTTCGCATTAGCGATGAATCAAACAAGCATCAACGCCATCTCAAAATACATAGATAGTCCTTACAATTAGAGACATTTCAATGAAACTCAATTTTCAACAGGTAACTCTTCTCTTTCATGTCACAACCAAAAGCATAAATTCCATCAGATTATTTTCAAACAGTTTTCACATTGCTTGATGCAAAATAATGAGATTTGGGGGCATCATTATATAAGTATGAAAGTTTTAATTTACAATCCATTCTATTACTTTATGCACAGCAGAAAGCAACAGGAACGTGAAAAGCACTGTTAGTCCTCCAAGTTCAAAGGGAATGTTTTTCCTACAGTTTTCTGCTATTGAAAAGGGGAACAAAAGACTCCCCAACTTGCCACGTATTTCTATTCTTTTAAATTTTCTTTATAGACTTTGGAGTTAGGAAATCTACATTTTTCATGAAACGTGTTTCTATTATTGTATCCATGTATGTATCAGCATGTCAGTTGTTCAACAAGTATACATTTAAAGTCCTTTATGCCTGATTGTACTGTGTTTTCATAACTATCTTTCTTATTCAAACAATGTGGCTATATGTCTCCCATTGTGAAGGTCGAATTATGTAGTTTTTAAGTAAAATATTGCTGAGAAGTCCATAATCACATCTACATTGTCCTGCTGTACTGTGTGAAAAATTATGTTGTTGTTCAATACATAAATTGGATATTTGCTCATAATTATTGTCAAGTCTTTGCAGGTAAGGATTGAATTAACCCTGATGCTGTACTTGATGACCAAAATATTTTCCAATAAGTTTATATAACCAGGGATAATTATGATATAAAGGGTTTTTAATATTGTTTCTAAGAAGGAGGTACTATAATAAAGGCTAATGTTAAATACACAAATATTTCATAAAAGCTATATAAAGCAACAAACTTATAGAACTAAAAATTGAAGCTTTTATCTGAGTCAGAATTTTCCTGTGTTTGTGACTTAGAATATTGATCCCCTTAATTTTCAGATTACTATCATAGCCTGCAAATGCATGAGTTAATTTTCACTAGGTAATTAAACTTTTAAACTAGACCTCTAGTTGACTCTTCTTTTACCCAGTTGATTCTCACAACTTCAGAATCTAGTGCAAATGGTTTAAATTTATAAAATTTATTCTTATTCAAGACATTTTATACTAACCTTTGTGAAAACTTAAAATGATCAAGGTAATCATTTGACTCATACGGAAGGAAGTATGATCGAAATGGCATGTGGCTTCCCTGGAGGAAGAGAGCTATTTTGAAATGAGGTTCCAAGAGGAGTGAGTGGGAATGCTGTGGGCTAATCCACAGTCACACACTAGACACCAGCCCTGAAGAGAGGGAAGAGCATCTGGCCTTCCATTCAAGCCAATGGCCATGTGCCAGGAGTGACAGAGAAATTGTAGAGGGGTACTCCGGTCTTGTCCTCTTCACCTGATTCTGGTTGGTCACCTGTCCTGCTTCTTTCCAAATCCACCCTTGTCCTGCACTCCAAAGCCCCAGATCTGCTCACCACCCTAAAATCCAACTTCATCAGGCTCTCCTTGTCTCCTGAAGTGAACAATGAACAAATTTCAGAAAAATATGAATCAAAGCCCCTAGGAAATGAACATGGAAGTGCTAGTGTCTCTGCAGTAGGCTGCACAGGTCTCTGTGCATCTACCCAGGGAAAGCATAAGAATGTCCTCTGTCAGTTCTATTTTTAGCAATTTGAGGAATCTTCCTACCAATTTCTCCACTGGTGGCATCAGTTTACATTCCCATCAGGAGAGAGAGTTACTGTTTCCCTACATTCTTGCTAACATTTGATGTTTGTTTTCTTGATGGAAACTCTGATGGGGTGATATAGTAAATCAAAGTAGTTTTCATCTGCATTTCCCTCTTGACTAATGATATTGAACACTTTTTCAAATATCTGTTGGTCATTTGTGTTTCTTCTTTTGAGAACTGGAGGATGTTAATGTTCACTTAGTGTTCAAATTTTGCACGTACACACACATAAATGTATATGTGTGTGCATTTATACATTTATATACAGATGATGAATATATATATACATACATACATACATACATATCTATGTCTATTCCCTGTCTAATGTATAATTGAGAGAGATTTTCTCCCATTCTGTTATTATGGTGACTGGTAGCTTTGCTGTACAGATTTTAATCGCATATAGTTCTATTTGTTGGTTTTTGACGCTATTTTTTATTCTACTGGAGTTATTTTCAGGAAGCCCTTGTTTGTGCTCATATCACAAAATAAAATGTTTTCCCTCTAGAAATTTTAGACTTTAGGATCTTGATCTAAGTATTTTATTCATTAAGAAACTTTGTACAAGTTGAGATCTAATTTCCACATAAATATTAATTTTTTGCAGCAGCATTTGCTGAGAAGGCTCTTTTTTCAGTGTATTTTGACACCTTTGCCAAAAATCAGGTGGCTATAGCTGTATTGATTCACATCTAAGTCTCCAGCTCCTCTCCAGTGATCTGAAGTCTGTTTTGTGCCAACACCTTGCGTTCACCATGGCTGCAGGATAATTTGAGGTCAGGATTTATGATAGCCCCAGCATTACTTTCTTGTAGGATTGCTTTGTCTATTTGAAGTGTTTTGTCTATCAGTTTGAGGATTTCTCTACAATTCTGTGAAGAATGTCACTGGAGATTATATTAAATATGTAGATTACTTTCTGTGCTATAACAATTTTTGCAATACTCTGCCTATCCATGGGCGTGGAAGGTATTTTGGAAATCTAGTGTCCTGTTCAATTTCTTTTTCTCAGTTCCTTAAAGATCTCATTTTGCTCACCTCCCATTGCTAGATTTATTTATAGGTGTCTTGCCCTTTATATTTATTTCCTATTTATTCATATTATTTTCTTTGTTTATTTACTTTTTAGGTTCTAGGAACCAAATGCATGCTGCTGTCCTTTTTAAGCAAACACTTTACAGTGAGATAAAGTCTTAATTCTTCAATTTTTTTGTTTCGCTTTCTGTTTTGGGTGTTATTATTAATTTTAATGAGGTTTATTCATCCTAATTCCTTTGTTGAAAAGATGCATTACTGGTTTGTAGAAAAGATATTGATTATCGTATGATTTTGTACCCTACTTAGCTGAAAGTGGCTATCGGGTGTTAGAGATCTGTGATGGCATCTTCAGCTCCTTTTAATGAAATGACCATGTCATGACAAGGGTAGTTTAAACTTTCCTTTCGTCTTTATATTTCTTTTTATGTATGTCTTGTGTTATCTAGTGACTTGGGTCACCTTATTAAAAGTGGAGAGTGTGGGCACATGTCTTCTCCCATGTCTCAGAGCCATCCTCATGCTGGCTGTGGTTTTGTTGTAAAGAACACATAGCCTTTACAGTAAGTACTTCAGTGTATCTCTACAACACATAGTTCCTTTAGAACTTTTATCATAAAGGTATGTTGAATTTCATCAAATATCTTCCTGCATCTATAGAGATGGTTATGTAATCTGTGTGCTGTACTACACTGACCAGACCAGTTGTATATTGAACTGACCCTGTATCTCTGGGGTGAACCCAATGTGTTGGTGAAGTACAGTTATAATGTGTTCTTGAGTTCAGTTTCCAGATATTTTATTCTGAAGTTCTTCATCTGTGTTCATCAGAGAAACTGGATTGTAAGTTTTGTTATTTTGTTGTGCCCTTCTCCAGTTTTGGTTTGAGCAATACTGGCTTTGAAGAATTTGTTTAAGAGTGTTCCTTCCCTCTTTTTGGAAGGGTTCTTTTTTAAAATTGTACTCATTTCTTAATTTTAATTTATTTTTATTTAATTTTTATGAATTTCATGTTGATGGGGTTTCTGTCCTGCCAAGTTACTGCAATCAAGTTCCAAAGAAATCACACAGAAGTCTATATTAATTATAAAATGATTGGCCCATTAGCTCAGGCTTCTTATTAACTCTTATAACTTATATTAGACCATTATTCTAGTATATGTTAGCCACATGGCTCAGTACCTTTTTCAGTGGGGCAGGTCACTTCTTCCTTCTTCTGTGTCTGGGTAGGACAGCAGAGGAAGCTTCCCACTTCCCAGAATTACCCTGCTCTCATTGACCCACCTCTATATCCTGTCTGGTTGTCCTGCCTATACATCCTGCCTGGCTACTGGCCAGTCAGTGTTTATTTAAAAGATAATTGACAGAATATAGACAATTGTCCTGCACCACTTCCCCCTCTTTTTTAAAACAAAAAACAAGATCATCCATGTTGCCTGCACTTTTCTGTGAATACCCAGACCTCGGAACAGGCATGCACTTTCCCAAACCAAGCCCACGAGAATGGATGAATATCCTAAGGGTTGAAACACACAGATACAAAAAGACCTTGCTCATTCACCAAAGAGTAAATGGCAACTTTATTAAACTCAAGTCGGGTATATATACTAGGGGGCTAGGGGGCAAAAGAGCAAAGCCCCCTCCCATCAGGAGCAGTGGAAGAGGATGACAGGTGCCCAGTGCCCAAGGCCAGAAGCAGCTGTGGTGGCAGACACCTGAGGCCTGTGGCTGAAACCTTGTTTACAGGTGGAATTACCATAACAAAAGAGGGCCAAATTCTTTCTTAAGCTAAACCCTCAGGCCAGTGCAAGAGCAGAATAGCCACGGAGCCAGAGGTAAAACGGCCCTGCAAATCACCAAGAACGAAAGGGGGGAAGACCTGTGTACCTACACATCCATACTCCATTTTTTGAGAATGTGGGCATGGTTCTCCAGGCTACTTCCTACTGGTTGGGGGTGCTGATAATCTTATGCGGACCTAAAGATAATTTATAATTATGATCAAGTCCTGAATGGAATATCCTGTGAGTCTTGATCATCTCAGGCAACATCTTGAATCTCTTCTGAATGTAAAACTCTGACATCTAGGCCATCTCTTCCTACCAGAGATTTCTCAGGTGGTCTTCCTTGATCAAACCTGATTTTTCTTAACTCAGAATGAATCCATAGCCTCTCATTTTCTGTGGAAACAAAAGCAAAACCTCTTCTCCAAAGTAACATACCCTTTGATTTCAATTTTGAAATCAAGGTATTTTCAAAATACCTATCTTGGATTAATTTAGCAGCATTGATAAACAAATATATTTTAGAAGCTGTTCTCCTTCCTCAGCATTCAAACAACTCAAAGAGAACATAATAACATACAGTATCCAGACATCTGTGCATTTTTCATCTGTATGTGGCTTTATTTTAACCTCTATTCCTTTTATTTTTAATTTTTGGTTTTTTGAGACAGGTTTTCTGTGTATCTTTGTCCTGAAACTCACTCTGTAGACCAGACTGTCCTTGAACTCACAGAGATCCACCTGTCTCTGCCTCCCAAGTGCTGGGATTAAAGATGTGTGCCAACACACCTTGAACTCACAGAGGTCTGTCTGCCTCTGTCTCCTAAGTGTTGGGATTAAAAGGTGTGCACCACTACATCCAACTACTCTCTTTTTTATTTTAAGGACTTTAGCCTTTTTATTTACTCTCTCAAGCTTACAAATGTTTTTTAACATACTGTAACCATTTAGAGATTTTCTTCTTCTTTTAATCTCTCTTTACTGTGTCTCTCTTTCTCTTGACCAAGTGAGTCTATAATTTACTAAATAATATGGAGAGGATTAAAACCGTGGCTTTGACGGCTAGATCCATCCCATCCTTAGCTATCTGGAACCATGTTTATTGCCACAACTCTATGCTGTTTCAAGGTTCTTGCCAGCAAGCAAGCTGCAACAGTGTGTCCACAAGCAACACTCAGGTGCTATCTCTGTAGCCAGACCTCCTGCCTCAAAGAGTCAGAGTTTGCACTGGTAGGTTGGACCAGAAAGCTGGCATCTTAAAATGGTGCTGCTTTTTTCCTGCTATTGCTGAAAACCAAAAGGCATGCAGTCAGCTTTTATCAACACCATTGAAGTGTTTCATGACAGGACCTCTTAAAGAGCTACAGTATTTTGCAACTAAAGCTGAGTCAGGAAGCCTCTCTTAAATGAGAGTGCTTACCTCTAGCAAGCAGAGCATATCCAAGAAATTGCTGCTACC